CCTGGCCGGAACATCCACTGCAGGGATTCTTTGTAGCCGAGAAGTTTTTTCGCCTTTTCCGAACCTCGACCAGAACATCCGACGGTCAGCTAACACCCTCCCACAAGGGAGATTGGTGTGCCCACCCTCTCTAAGGAGCAGTTCCCATTTTATCTACTCGCCGAAGCTTTCGAATCGCTGGGTGGATGATGAGTTGGGGACAACAGGCTGGCTGCTCACACCAGCGCGGGGCTCGAACTAACACAGTTCAGATGTTAAAACAGTGGGATATACCCACTGTGCCACCGCTCCCCTGTGCCAGATGGGAGTTTGAAGCGAAGAACACGAAGATGATCAGAAAGTTTTCTCATAACAACTAACATAGTAACATATAAACATGGAAGATGAGCAGGAACTCTACATGTTGTGATACTAACACTTGCTGTACTAACATTTACACTAACAGAAATAAGATCTCCTGCTCTTGGTTTTTTAGTTTAGTGTGGTTATCTTTCCTTTATTCCTAGTTGTAGTTTCCCTCCCTAATTTTCTTTGTAGTTTGTAGTTCAATGCAAAATAAAAATATCCCTTTCGGGGGTTTAAAAAAAGAAGAAGCCGGATGGGGGGGGAAAGCTATTACACTATCAGCTGAGTTCCGATAAGATCAGAGCCTTGAACAATGGTTGCCAACTCAGCATAGGGAAATACGTAGAGATTCTGGGGGTTGACCCTGGTGGGGGAGAGTGGGGGTTTTCAAGGGAAGAGACTTCAGTGGGGTATACTGCCATAAAGTCCACCCTCCAAAGCAGCCATTTTCTCCAGGGGAACTGATCTCTGTCTTCTCGAGATAAATTGTAATTCTGTGAGATATCCAGGCCACACCTGTAGGTTGTCAACACTGGAACTTTCAGAGAGTGAGATCGGAAGGAATCCTGTCTCAGAGTTTGTTTTGAGTGTAAACAGGGTAAAACAGTTAATGTTTGGAGACAGGTTTGGACCTACAGCGGGATGGGATGAAAATTCTTTCTTGAGAGATTATACAGGTCTCACAGTCCTGCATTTGTGATAAGGCAAGCTAGCCTAGTGAATGCTTGTGGAAGAGAATGTAGCTGAGGGAAACTGGGCTGGCTAAAGATTTATGGTTTCTGGGAGGAGCTCACGTTTCCACTGTGAGAACCTTATAGCTGTAGGAAGGGCAATATTCAACTCAAAAATAAAGGCTGTTCTCTGTACCCAGGAATAGAGTTTTGCCCTTAAACCAGAGCATCACAGTGTGGTGGCACCGCATGGTGACACCACTTCCAGGTGATGTCATCAAGTTTGTGACATCCCAGAATGCCCATCAGTGCACATTAAGTTTCCCCAGTGCAGAGTTGCCAGTCTCCAGGTGGGGAGACTGGCAACTCTGGAGATCTCCTGGAATTAAAACTGATCTCCAGACCACAAAATTTGTTCCCCTGGAAAAATGGCTGTTTGGAGGGTGAACTCTGTGGCTTTATACCCCACTGAGGTCCCTCCTCTCCCCAAACCAGGCTTCCATCTGGCATCCAGACACAGGGAAAGTATAATACTTAGTTAGGCCCCAAGTGAACCCTTCAAATTAGGATGAGGTATGATTATTGTTTCAACATGATCAGTTGATGTAATCTACATCAGACCTACACAGTGCTAGAGAATTTGAGCCAAGTATTTTGGACATCCAAGGAAGCATACATTTTACCACAGATGAATGACAACTTAGACTGAAAGAAACACACACACACACCCCAATTTCATCATGCTCATAAGTTGTATGAATTGGTCTAAAGTTTTTTCCCCCCCTTAACTGTCTTATCAAAACAACTAATGTACCTTTATCCGGTTATACTAATGTCTGCAACAGCAAGATCCAGGTAAGATCGCTGTGAATTCTTTTAATCATCTGTTAACTGTATTACAAATAGCAAAATTGTC